CAAGAAGGCCGTTTTAACATCGAGTTGTTCCAGCTCAAGATCACTATGAGCAATAATACTCAATAGCACCCGAATAGAAGTGTGTTTCACCACCGGAGAAAAGATCTCATTGTAATCCACACCCTCTCTTTGTGCAAACCCTTTAGCCACTAGCCTCACCTTGTACCTTGTACTACCGAGCTCTGAAGGATCTTCCTTTCTCTTATACACCCACTTACAACCAATAGCTTTTCTTCCTACGGGCAATGGGACCACCTCCCATGTTTGGTTCTTCTGAAGAGATTTCGTCTCCTCCTCCATCACAGCCAACCAACTCTCACTATCTTTGTCCCGAATAGCTTCTTTGAAGGAGACCGGCTCATCTTCCTCCACCGAGAGTGCGTATTCAACCAAATTAACCTGCCCATAGTGCTTCAGGGGTTGATCAGCCCCTAGCTTCTGTACCTGCTTGTATGCTCGCTTTGGCCTAGTGAAAGCCAAAGTATCCTCGAACTGCTGTTATTGTAGTGTCTGTGTATTCTACTACTGAACCTCCTCCTGTTCAAGCTTATCATCTACCTGATTTCCCACTTGAACATGACTAGAACCTGATTGGTCTTTAGGTTCTATCTCAATAACCTGAGACTTTGAAGTCCCAACAGTCCCAACACCATCATCCTTGGGCGCCCTAGCAATCATGGATTTTTCATCAAAGATAACGTCCCTGCTGATCACGAACTTTGAATCTTCTGTACACCAAAGGCGGTAGCCTTTTACACCCTTTGCATACCCCAAGAATATCACCTTCTTGGCCCTCGCGTCAAGCTTTCCCTCGTTGACGTAATAGTAAGCGGTACATCCGAAAATTTTGAGCCTATCATAATCTGTATGTTCCCCTGACCACACCCTATAGGGTGTATCACCATCCAATGTTGAATGTGGAGAACGGTTCACAATATAACATGTTGTAGCCACCGCTTCTGCCCACTATTCATTGCCCAATCTAGCATAAGATCGCATACTCATTGCCTTCTTCCGTAATGTTCGGTTCAGTCTCTCCACGACCCTGTTCTGCTGTGGTGTTGACCTGACTGTCCAGTGTCAAACAATGCCCTCCTGATCACAGAACTCCTTGAAAGCACAATCTGTATACTCTGTACCGTTGTCAGATCTCAGTGTCTTCAATTTCTTACCTGTCCTGTTCTCAACCATTGTCTGTATACTCTGTACCGTTGTCAGATCTCAGTGTCTTCAATTTCTTACCTGTCCTGTTCTCAACCATTGCTTTCCACTTCTTGAATGTCTCGAATACATCATTCTTATGCTTAAGAAAATAAATCCAAGCATACCTAGAATAATCGTCTATGAACGAGACAAAATACATGGAACCACCCTTGGAAGTTGTCTGAGCCGGATCCCAAACATCCGTGTGCACATAATCTAGTATACCTATGCTCTTGTGATTGCTTTTCAAGAATTGGACCATGTGCGCCTTTCCATACACACAATCCTCACAAAAATCCATGCAAGGTTTCTTCAGATTCTTCAACAAACCCTCCTTACCAAGCAGAACTAGACCCTTCTCTGACATGTGCCTAAGCCGCCTATGCCATAACCGTGTGTGCTCACATGGGTCTCCACCACTTCCTTCAGTTCCAACCGCTGCATCTTCTGTCACCGTCGTACCCAAAAGAGTATATAGATTACCGTGACGAACACCCTTCATTACTGTTAGGGAACCTCGAACAACCTTCTTCACTCCATTCTCTATAACAATCTTGCAGCCACCAGAGTCCAATACACCTACTGAGATAAGATTCTTCCGCAAGTCGGGAACGTGCCGCACGTCCGTTAGGGTTCTGACCACTCCATCATGCATCTTGATTTTTATATCACCGAGCCCCACCGTTTTACAAGCATGGTTATTCCCCATCAATACGGTTCTACCATCAATGCTCCTATAAGTAGTAAACCACTTCCTATTTGGACACATGTGATAAGAGCAACCTGAATCAAGTATCCACTTACCGGAGATATCTTCGCCACCCGTAACAACATAGCATTCTTTATCGCTCCCTTCCTCCGATGCGTAACTCGCCTCTTCCTTGCCTTCTCTTCTCTCGGTCTTGTTGTTCTTTTTCCCACCTACTCTCTTGTTAGGACAGTCAACCTTGAAATGCCCAGGTCTCGATTTATATCTAGACTTTCCTCCCTTGCTTTTTCCTCGCTCATTGCTCCTTCCTCTAGCAAACAATCCCTACGCTTGTTCTTTGTTACAACTAGTAGTCATGTCACTGGTTGCAATCTTCCGAAGGTGATCCGCTAGAAGCGCCGTTCTAGTCTCATCCATCGTCAAATTGTCTCCCACAAGTATCAGTGTTTGCACCAGGTTCTCATAAGACTTCGGCAGAGATAGAAGTAGTAGAAGAGCCTGATCCTCGTCTTCTACAGTCACATCAATGTACTTCAGATCCGATATAATCCTATCGAACATGTTGATGTATTCCCGGATTGATGAGCCCTCCTCCATCTTGTAAGTATACAATTTGGATTTCAAATAGATCTGGTTCGTTAGGCTCTTCGTCATGAAGGTTCTTTCTAACTTTGACCACACGCCCGCAGCCGTTTTCTCTCCATCTACCGAGAAAGCTACATCTCTTTCAAGGCAAAGGATAATCGACGCCCGTGCTTCCAGATCGATCCAGCTCCTCCCAATCCTCATTAGACATATCCTTGTGCTTATTCTCTTTTCCAGCTAAAGCCTTATGCAATTTCTGCGAAATCAACGTGTTCTTCATCTGCATCCTCCAATAGGAAAAATCATTCTTCCCATTGAATTTTTTAATCTCCTATTTTCCCACTTTAACTGTTTTACTTGTTGACGCCATTCTCCGCTTGTATTAAAAAATCCACTTCTCTCAGAAAATTGCCGAGCACCACCTCAAATCAGAAGCTACACACCACTCCCAATCTGAATAACAGCTCTGATACCAATTGTTGTGCGCAAAGTCACGCCCACTACAGCGGAAGCGATATCACCTGAGAGAAAGCCCTGGCTTTTGTTGTCACAAAAGCATAAGTCAACCTCTATATTCTTGTTTCTCAAAGGAAACTAGAATAGATAGTGAAATTCTTATTTCTCAAAGGAAACAAGAATCAAAAGTGATATATTTCATCAAAGTAAAATATACACTCTTCCTCTCATCAGTTCTAAGACTGAAAATGTCGAGGGAACCTATAAGCAATAGCCAACACCTAGAAAACAATAAAGACACGAGATTTACGTGGTTCGGCAAACTTACCTACGTCCACGAGAGAGGTGAGGGGAGATTCCACTATGAGAAGAACACCAACGACTTGTACAATCCACAAGCTCGTCTCAAAGCAAAAAAAAATCTAATTTTTACCCAAAAGAAATTAACCTCTCTTTTGTAAAATCCCTCTTTTTCTCTCCTCAAGATCTCTCTTTTAGATCTCTTTTATTCGCTGCCTAAACCCTCTTTTCTTCTCCTTTAATAGCCGGCTAAACACTCTTAAAAACTCTGTCTGCGTTTTTTTTACCTGTTATTTTTCTCTCACGAAACCCTAGAGAACACACTGATATATATAAGGGAGATTTGGTGTTGGGCCGGTGAAGAAAACCCGTTGCTTGGGTTTCACTCGCACGTGGGTTGGGTGGCCCCCACTCACACTTATTAAACTAAAAAAGTTGCTATTTAAAAAAAAAGAAAATCTTTAAAAATTCATCAGAAGTCTACTATGGAGTGAAGTGATTCGTTTAAGTCTACCGTATGATAATGCAGTGACCAGTGTTAAAGTGACCTTTTTAACACAAATGAAGTGGACTTCTGGCAATCTATGGTAGTGTTAGGTACATTCTGTCCCCGGGTTGACTATAGTGATTCAATGTGCATTCTCAAACTACTGGCCTATAATTTTCATACTCTTAGTGTGATAACTAAGGAAGTTTTACAAGTACAAATTTAGATCGAAAATTACCAGTTATAAAAGTATTTAGTATTCATTCATATTGCTTCTTTGATTTGTGAGTATTCTTTTATACCAATGTCACATGCTATTTTTGGAAATTCCTCTTAGTTAAAATATTATGTGTTTCTCAATCGTTCTTTTCGACAACGACTTATCTGAATTTAGTATTGATAATTTCTTAAACTTATCTGATCCGCTACTGATAAGTTACCTGATCACTGGGTGTAAACTCAACCCAATATTTTTAACTTTTTTTTAGATGATAATTAGATAGCTTTATCTATAGTTTGGAAATATGGGGACATGTGAAGGACCTATTAGAGAGTACTTTAATGCTGAGAGTTTTATAGTTGTCATCTTAAACGTTATGTAATAAGAGTCTTTGACTTATTAGAGTGACATTGATGTAGTTTTGCTTGGAGACTTCTAATAAAGTTTCTTTCTTGACAGTTTTAATTGTAATATGGAAGCGCACCACAGGTTTGGCATGTGCCTTCACACATGCCGTCGTCATGCATCTCAAAATATGATGCACATTTTGGGGGCATGATAGAAAATTTTCACACTTGTATGATTGAAAATATTAATGTGCCAATTTTAGACAACTTATGATATTTATTTGCCACCACTAGTAGAAAAACGATCAACCTAGACGGAAATTTCCGTCTAGGTTGATTGCAATTCCGTCTAGATTAGGTCATCTAGACGGAATTCCGTCTAGTTTGAGTGGTTTATTTTGCTTCCGTCTAGATTGCTTCAAACTAGACGGAATTCCGTCTAGGTTGGCAATCCAGACGAAATTCCGTCTAGGTTGCTTCAACCTAGACGGAATCCCGTTTAGGTTGCTACTGTTGCTACAGTAGCAACCTAGACGGAATTCCGTCTAGGTTGAAGCAACCTAGACGGAATTCCGTCTCCGTCTAGATTGCTCTGCTACAGTAGTTTTTTTTTTTGTGTGTGAAAACTACGCTGCACGCTATATAATATCACATGTACACAATATTGCACAACAACAAATCATATTCATATCCAACACAATTGATCTAATTATATTTCAATATCAAATATAATTATATTCAAATAATACATTCACCAAAATACTAGAAAGATACATAAATTTTTTACATAGATTATAAAAAATACAATTGTTTACATAACTTGATGAACTTTGCATAATTTATAGAATCCAATTGCATTTACTCCTCCAATTTGTTGAAGCATCATGTTTCTTCCTCCTTGATCCTACATTATACAAAATTCAACATCAATTAGTCCATGCCATGAAATACACTACAAAAAATGATACATTAAATAATGATCAGGAATATTAGCTTCTTAACATCACTCTGAAATTCAACATCAATTAGTCCATGCCATGAAATACACTACAGAAAATTTTGGAATAAAGGACTATTGGTGTTGGTGTTGGCATTGTCATGTCTGGTGCTCTTATGTCTATGGTGGAGCATTAATCATTACTTAGTAGACTTAATCTATATGCAGTTGTATTACTCTTGTACACTTGGATATGCATACAAGATTTTCACGTAATTGAATATATGTTAAAATGTGTTAAACAATTTACTATTATCCATATCAGTACCCACATTTTAAAGGAATTATGGAACAAGTATGGATATTCATTTTTTTTAAAGTACAGATACAGGTATGGAAAAGTAGCATCTTAATTCTGAACAAAAATGTCAAAATTATTTAGTGCATTTCAACTATATCAGCATGCTAATTTCAATTATAACTATTACAGCATGCTAAATTTTCAATTGCATTTTTTTATCTGCTGATGTACAACTCAACCATCTAAAGCCATAGCTGGTGAATATGTAAGAACGGTAAACTGGTACAACCAAGAAAATTTGTAAAATTTTACCTGCATTTCTGCTAATTTCTCCCGAATCTGCATATAGCCTAAGTGAAGCTTCCCTCCAAAATGATCTGCCAAATGACGATCACTGTGCACCACAGAATACTAGAGCGTAACATAACTTATTTACATAGAGATGTATAGAATATAATATAATCATACTCAACTAACAGACATAAGCATCTTATTCTGACCAATAACACAGATGAGACCTCATATCAAGAAAGAAAATAAGTTACTGAGGAATAACTTACACCGGCTTTACAGTAATACTAATTTTGGCAACACCTGAAGCAGAACTGTTCGAACTTAACATGAAAATTTCCTCCGATGATTTAATTCAAGTCACGGCACAAATGAAATCACAACAAACTCAAACAAGGCCTAATCACAACAAAAACATATATTTTGCTCTTCAAACACCAAAACGCTAACGAGTTTAAAGCCGAGATCCAGATTCTAATGTCAACCAACTAAGATGAAATCAAAAGTAGGATGAATCAAAAGTTTAGAATAAAGAAATAATAATTTGATTATAATGTCAACCAACTAAGATGAAACCTATGAAGACCAGTAATAATGTGCACCCCTCTGGATTCACGAGGGAGAGGGAGATTTTCTGTAATTTATTCTTCTTAAAACACCAATCTTTGTGTTTTAAGAGCTAATAAATAGTTGCGAAGTGATAAAGGCTACTGAAAATATTGATGAGGGGGGTATCTAGAATTCACCTGTAATAATTTATCCATTATTTCGTCTGGAAATTGCTTTTCTTTGTCAAAACAAACCTAAAATAATTAAGGTCAACAAGGAATTCGGCTTTAAACAAGCCTAAAATAATTAACTTTGCATAAATATGGACAATCTGATTATTACATGGTCCGGAATCAACACTCTATCATAGAAATAGCTGTTAGATACTCGCACAATGAATTTTATGCTAAAGTAGGTTAAGTTGACAGACACTCAGAATTTATGTTAAGAAATAAGTACTTGTGAACTGGTCTTGAGTATTTTAAATTATGAATTTAATGTTAAAGCAGTTTGATATATAAACGTCCTTTGGATTCAGCATTAGAAATACCACAGAGAAACTGGAATACCTTGTCCATAGAATAAATCTGAATTTCAAATTCTAGACATGAAGGCATTAAATATGTTTACGCTGCGTGTGTACACACACACATCTATATCTGCGTGTGTGTGTGTAGCTTATTCAGGATCAAACAACACTTTGTCATACTCTTGTTTAGTAGCTATAAAATGCCAGAAATTGGTTGTTTGATATCATGGAGGAAACTACTGCAATAGAAAACCTTTCACAAAAATGTCTTGCTTAATGCATTATCTTGGAAACATCAAATTGTTAAAAGGTTTCGTTATGTTATGGCTCTAATATACATTTGTGAACACCAGGCAACAAAGAGATGTACAGACACAACTTATTTCCATATATTTTCTACATTAAAAACTTAAATGATTTGTCATTACCAAATTTCAAAGGCTTAAAGGGGTTGGTGATATTTTGGAGGGCCAGGTAAATAAATCAAAAAGTCTGCTTACTGTACAGAACCAATAATTGCTCTTTTTTGTGGGTTAGACTATGCTCAACCTTATCTTGGAATCGGAACACGAACAAACAAATGCTTCTCTATAGGACTTTGACTAAGATGAACTAATAAGCATCTTCGAAACAGCATGGAGTTGTATGAGTTCAAATAAAGTAATTCAACATCTTGCCTACTTGAAGAGTGAGAAACGTACCATGCTGTCAACTGAAACACCCAAGACCTTTGTATTTAGCTTCTCAAACTCTGAATAGCGATCACTGAAAGCAGTAATCTCTGTCGCAAAAGGAAAGGACAAACAAATGTGAAATCCAGTGGAACCAATCGCAACCTAAGACCCTCGTAATCAACAAATTTTACCAGATCCCTCTCCTAATTCCCAAATTATATTTGTCAGGAATACTTCTTCTACATAAAAAGAGCGTAAATTTCCAAAATTGCGATTACAAGAAAGAATTACATACACGAACCTGGTGAGTGGCGTAGGTGGAGGATCTCGTGATGCTTAGGGTTTCTATTGCCAGCTCCGGCGAGGGGCTCGTCGTAGGCGGAGGAGACGGAGGAGGCGTCGCGGTGAGCGGCGGAGGCGCGAATGGCGCGGGCCGCGAGCAGAGGGGAGGGGAGAGACGAGGAACCATCGGATTCGAAGGCGGCGGAGGAGCGAGCGTCGGCGATGAGGGTGTAGGCGGCGACGGCAAGGAACAGGGGCTTCTCCGCGATCGAAGATCTCATCGTCGGCGAGTTTTTGGCGATTAGAATGGCGAATAAGGAATGGGGAAAGGTCTTTAGGGATGAAAGAGAGAGAGATTTGGGGATTAGGTCGGTTTGGGGGTTTTTAGATGGAGAGGGGAATAAACTGAGGCGGGGAATGAAAAAAATAGGCGGGGAAATGAAAAAAGCGAGGGGGAGGTCCGTAAATTTTTTAGGCAATCTAGACGGAAATTCCGTCTAGGTTGCATAAATCTAGACGGAATTTCCGTCTAGGTTGGGTATTATTTATAAAAAGAAAAATAAATCGTCTAGTTTGTCAATCTAGACGGAATTTTCCGTCTAGATTGATTCAAAGTAGACGGAACAAACTAGACGGAATTTTTTCCGTCTAGTTTGCCTCAAAGTAGACGGAAAAAAATTCCGTCTAGTTTGTTCCGTCTAGTTTGTTCATTTTTCTACTAGTGCACGAAGTATATAACGGCCAAAACAGAAAACTTTGCGGTATCTAAGTATCATTTACAAAGTGATACCACTTTTTGAAAAATACTGAATCCACACTGTACATATGTGTGTACCCGTTACACAACATGCTTTCTTCCAATATCAAGGGAAGATGGTGAATAGTCAGATGTAGATGTTGGGCCCGACGGAAGCGTGCACAAATTCACAACGAGTCGGTAAGCAACGAATAAAGAACACCACGAGCACAATTCACAATGAAACGACCAAAACCAACCACAAACACAGAGATTTACGTGGTTCGGCAAGTTACCTACGTCTACGAGGAGAGGATATGGAGATTTCACTATATGGAGGAGAAACACAATTGGTTACAACTCTCAAACACTCACAATAACCCTAACCAACAAGATCTCACTCTCTCTCAATAATCTCCGTCTCAAAGTGCTCAAACAACTCTATTTTCTCTGATTAAAAACCCTAACAAACATGTTTCTATTTATATAAACAACTAAATCCAAAACAAGCTAGGAAACAATTCATCCCAATAACCCGCTATCGGTCGACTGATGAAGCCTTATGAGTCGACCGGTAGGTGTTCATCGGTCGACCGACATAGCACATCAGTCGACTGTCCAATGGAATTTTTCAGTTTTCCTGCAGTGTGCCCGTTATCGGTCAACTGATCATTGTTAAAAGTCGATCGATGGTCCGTTATCGGTCGACTGATCATTGTTATCAATCGACCGATGGTCCTACAACTTTTTCATGCGATTTTTCGCCTCTTTTGCAACAGTAGACTGGTAATGGGAGTAATAATTCGATATTAATGGATAACGACTCAGCCAGTCAGTGGCCATCAAAATTATATGTTATTTAAGTATTTTTGGTGCGAGGTTCTTCTCTAAACTAGACACGATGAAGGACCACTACGTCTGAGATATATGAGAAGCTCCGCAGGGCGCAAGGAGCAATTGACAATCTTTTTTGCATCATCATAGTATCACCATTAATTGGAGAAGAACAATATGATATGATATTTTCAAAGTATGACATTAGGCCTGGGGTCATGCGTCAACGACGCCCCATGATCCTTTTTTTCTTAAAAATAATAATAAAAATAAAAATTCTCATTCAAGGTTTCACTCGGGACATAATAGACAAAATCGAGACATTGCAAACTTGGGGTTAGATAATAACACATTCTTATTCATAATATGATGATATGTCAACACATAGGAAGACAAGACTATTACATCGCACACCAACAGACTCAAAAAAAAAAAAGAAAGATAGGAAGACTCTACTGAATACAGACCGCCAAGCTTGCCCTTATTCCCATATATATATGTGGCTATTACTATATCAATGCCACAACGATAAGACCTTATTCGATACTGATTACTGCTAATTAAGTAGGCAGCTTATTTTTCGTCATGGGAAGCTATATGTAGTCTACTTGGTCCCCTCAGCGCAAGTAAGAGTGAGCTTGGCCTCATAAACAGCCGTAGTGTTATTACCGATGGACACACTAGACTTGCATCCTTTGCATTCATCACTCCACTGGAGTTCAGCATCGTTGGTTCTATCTTGTAGTTGACCCAATCTGTTGGTAAAGTAACCTGCTCCACGAACCATTGTATAGGCCTACATATGTACAAACATCAATTTAGATTGTGCTTTACATACGAAGTATAGAGTATGCACGTGTAACAAGAAAGTATCAGGTGAGAATGGTCTATGACATTAAATGTGTATTCAAAAGATGACAAGTTTTGGATTTGTGCACGAATCTTGAAATTCAATGATTCGGCATTTATTTGGTGCACATTTGATGTCATGGACCGGGACCCACTTAACACTTGCTCCACTTATGCACATACCTTACAGTAGCCTGGCCAATACGGGTTCACCCACGAAAGCATGAAGTCTTGGTATTCCCCAGCATCATTCTTACCACGATAGACGACAGCAGCTGACGATCCTGTCATCCCGAGAGTGGGATGCACGTGCAGGAAAGCACCCCACTGACCGTTAGGAGCAATTGACAATCTTTTTTGCATCATCATAGTATCACCATTAATTGGAGAAGAACAATATGATATGATATTTTCAAAGTATGACATTAGGCCTGGGGTCATGCGTCAACGACGCCCCATGATCCTTTTTTTCTTAAAAATAATAATAAAAATAAAAATTCTCATTCAAGGTTTCACTCGGGACATAATAGACAAAATCGAGACATTGCAAACTTGGGGTTAGATAATAACACATTCTTATTCATAATATGATGATATGTCAACACATAGGAAGACAAGACTATTACATCGCACACCAACAGACTCAAAAAAAAAAAAGAAAGATAGGAAGACTCTACTGAATACAGACCGCCAAGCTTGCCCTTATTCCCATATATATATGTGGCTATTACTATATCAATGCCACAACGATAAGACCTTATTCGATACTGATTACTGCTAATTAAGTAGGCAGCTTATTTTTCGTCATGGGAAGCTATATGTAGTCTACTTGGTCCCCTCAGCGCAAGTAAGAGTGAGCTTGGCCTCATAAACAGCCGTAGTGTTATTACCGATGGACACACTAGACTTGCATCCTTTGCATTCATCACTCCACTGGAGTTCAGCATCGTTGGTTCTATCTTGTAGTTGACCCAATCTGTTGGTAAAGTAACCTGCTCCACGAACCATTGTATAGGCCTACATATGTACAAACATCAATTTAGATTGTGCTTTACATACGAAGTATAGAGTATGCACGTGTAACAAGAAAGTATCAGGTGAGAATGGTCTATGACATTAAATGTGTATTCAAAAGATGACAAGTTTTGGATTTGTGCACGAATCTTGAAATTCAATGATTCGGCATTTATTTGGTGCACATTTGATGTCATGGACCGGGACCCACTTAACACTTGCTCCACTTATGCACATACCTTACAGTAGCCTGGCCAATACGGGTTCACCCACGAAAGCATGAAGTCTTGGTATTCCCCAGCATCATTCTTACCACGATAGACGACAGCAGCTGACGATCCTGTCATCCCGAGAGTGGGATGCACGTGCAGGAAAGCACCCCACTGACCGTTGGCAAGAGCTTGCGGGACGGGGGCTTTCCAGAGATGCCCGTGCCAATCGTGGGTACTGATTAAAGTGATAGGATCACCGGTGGCATTGTAGACCACACAAAGCGTGGAGACTCCATTGCCGTACTGCTCCTTCAATTTCTCCGCAAATTGGAGGGCGTTCACGTTCTTGCTCTCCGCGTATATCATATTAAGAGCCTCGTGTGCACGGTCGCAGCGCGTTATTTTCTTGCCGATGTATTTGGTCATTGCCTTCAGAGTCTCGTCGGTGATGGGGTTGCCGAACACGTTTGACGCCATGTCGACTGCTGATGAATTGAACGGTTTAACTGCGTAACTAAGGATATTGCTGTGTGATGAGAAACTAGGGAGTAATGAACGCATATTTATATACACATAGAACGAACATTTTTTTATTAATAAAGAAAGACTATAAGTCTCACTATTATATATTTTGAAAGACTGTGGTCCTTTTTTCTTATTTCTGAGGAAAAAGACCATGGTATTTTTTTATTATTCTTTTTTTTAAGAACATCCTCATTCCTTTTGCTTTAATTGATTTGCTTTTTTATTTTCACCAAATTTGTCGCCATGTGCTTGTATTTTGTTACCAGTCTGCTATATATTAAGACCAAACTCGGCCTTCAATATTTAAAATTTATATCTAAAGACATTTATTAACCGTATACTTTTGTGCTTATATATTAACCCAAAGACACGTATTAAAAATAAGAAAATTTTGAAAGACCAAGGTCTGCGAGGGACGAAAAACTCGTGTGCTTGGTCAGAACCAGGCTCCGCAGGCCTCGGGCCCACAACACTACAAATACTTAATTGTATTCATTCATGAACCGTAAATATATACAAGTTACATTTGACAAATATAGTATGAAATAATATAATTATTCTAGCATATTCTCCATCTTAATAAGGTATATAGTCTTGTATACAAGGTATGAATAAGAATAATATCTAACCATATATTCCTAACACCCCCCGTCAAACTCATGGTGGATCAAACACCAAGAGTTTAGAAAGTAGAAATTTGTGACGCTTGGAGGTGTGAGCTTTGGTGAAAAAGTCAGCAAGCTGAAGCTCAGAAAAAACATATGATAGAGAGATCGCCTTAGTCTTTAAAAAATGTATGAAATGACAATCAATCTCAATGTGTTTTGTGCGCTCATGAAACACTGGATTGATGACAATCTTTATTGCACTTCGATTGTCGCAATAGAGAGGTGTCGGGAAGAGACAATCAATGCTCATGTCACGTAGAAGCTGTCGCAGCCAAATAATCTCAGAGGTAGTATTAGACATAGCTCGATACTCCGCTTCGACACTAGATTTTGAGACAACATCTTGCTTCATAGCTCGCCATGATATTAGTGTATCACCAAGAAATACACAAAAACCGGTAATAGATCGATGATTGCTAATGTAACCGGCCCAGTCGGAATCAGAGAAGGCATGAAGTTGTAGCTTTGATGTGGAAGAGAACAAAAGAGGTCTAGATAAAGTGCCACGAAGATAGCGTAGAATACGAAGTACATCAGCGTAGTGAACTGAGATGGGAGACTGAACAAATTGACTCACTACATAGACAGCGTAAGCAATGTCTGGTCGAGAAATAGTGCGATACACTAAAGCACCAAAGGTTCTCCTGTATCAGGTGCTAGTTTTTGATGAAGTTGAATACGTGTATCGGCGATCTGATCATCAGTCAACTCAGCTCGAGCCAAAAGATCATAGATGTATTTTTGTTGAGAGATAAGATATCCTCGTGACCCATATGCAACTTCGAGTCCCAAAAATATCGAAGATGCACTAGATCTTTCATTTCAAATTTTTGATGTAGAGAAGTCTTCACAGTGTTCAGAAATAAAGAATCACTGCCAGTAATGACCATATCATCAACATAAAGAAGAAGAATAGTGCGTCCTTGACTAGAAGTATGAACAAACATCGCATGATCGGCCTCACTCTAAATAAAGCCCATATTAAGTACTGCAGAGCTGAACTTCTCAAACCAAACTCGAGGAGCTTGTTTTAGGCCATATAATACATGACGAAGATGACAAACTTGTTTTGACAAATGAGGCAGACCTGGAGGAGGTTGCATATAAACTTCTTCGTGAAGGTCATCATGAAGAAAATCATTCTTCACATCAAGCTGATAGAGAGGCCACTGTTGAGCAGCTGCAATAGCAATAAGAGCTCAAACTGATGTCATCTTAGCCACAATAGCAAAAGTTTCCTCATAATCAATCCTATATTCTTGGGTGAAGCCTCGAGCAACTAGACGAGCCTTGTACCGATCTATGGTACCATATGAACAAGTTTTAATTTTATAAATCCATTTGCAACTAATTGGGACTTTGCCTGAAGGTAATGAGACAAGATCCCAGGTACCAGTCTTTTGAAGGGCGGTTAACTCTTCTTCCATAGCTACTCGCCATTCAGGAGAAGAAGCAGTCTGATGATAAGATGTAGGCTCATGATGCAAATGAATGGCTGTCAAGAAGGAATGAAAAGTAGGAGTAAAGGATGAAGAAAGACAACCAAAAAATTGTTTTGCCTTACGAATACGGAGAGGATAGCGATGATCAGCTAGTGAAGAATCATCATCCGGGGCTGAGTTTTAATGGTCAGCAAGTGAGACTGGAACATGTACACTTTGGTGATCATCAGAGGATGGAGATGGAGGTGATGAATCTACTGGAATTGAAAGTGTGGTAAGCTCAAGAAATGAAAGGTCAATGGAAGTAAGTGATGTCTTATTGTCATTGAGGGACTGTCTAGAGTAATATGGAATATGCTCTAAAAAGGTTACATCTAGGGAAATGCGAAGTCATTTTTTAATTGGATCATAACAGCGATATCCTTTGTGCTCAAGATTGTATCCAAGAAAAACACTGTTACCCAAGTAAATGTTACCCAAGTAATCTTGATCTTCGATGTAGCTCAACTTGGTACACTATACGGATGAAGCTTGAACTTGGATCTTGACTTGAATTGCAAGACTTCACTCCACTATTTCGCTAACCTCCATTTGATATGATCGTTATGGCGCAATCCATTCATCCTTCAACATATTGTTTGTCTATAATAAATAATAAAACACAAATACTAGATAAACAATATTAGATGTAAATTATTTGTTAAATCATCATCAAAACAAGAAGGCCAATAATCTCCCCCTTTTTGATGATGACAAACAATTTACAAAAACAAATATATGCATTAGAAGAAATGAATATATAAATTAGAATTATCATGCATATAGACAAGAAAGAATATACTAATAATTTTTTCCCCTTTTGACAACATCAAAAAGGGGAAAATCATATAGATGAAAGAGAGCAAAAGCTCCCCCTACCTATAAGCATTTTGACAACATCAAAAAGGGGAAAATCATATAGATGAAAGAGAGCAAAAGCTCCCCCTACCTATAAGCATGAGTGACTATAACACATAGAAAGATATAGGGATTGCTCTCCCTATCAAAATGCCTTAATAAAAATATGCAATGAATGCTAAGGCATACATATGTGAGCAAGCAAGAAACATGCTAAACGCAACTCACATACAAAAAGACAATGAGGACACATATAAATATATCAATATGAAAAAGTGTCTCAAATATACAAACATAAAAACAATATATAAAATAGATTTATAAAATCACAAGAAAGAAGACATGAGAATCATGTAGAAAGTTTTCAAATGAAAACAAATCAACCAAATGAATTCATAAATCAAGATTTGAGTCCCAAAACAATGTTTGATAAAAAAAATTTCTTTGTATAACTTGATCAAACCACTCGTAGAATACATTATAAGGCACGAATAGATGATCCATGAACACAAACATATAAATATCATCATATAAGTGAAATATAATGAATTCAAAGCAACAAATCAAAACAAAATCTTTGACAAAAGAATTTCAAGAGAGGCAACAATATATCAAGCTCTTAAGCTTGTATCAACCCTTATAAACATTTTGGCACCCGGCCGGTAAACAAGATTTGGGAATAAACACCCAATAAATCCGGGGGGTTATATAAACATAAACCTCTCATCAAAACAAAACCAATAATCATGAAAACAAAAAAGTATGACCAATAAGAAGAATTGTTTTCATGTTCAAAAGTTTAAAGTATAATTTTCAAAACCAAGAAAAGGAAAAAGAAAAACACTAAAATACTTGGTTTTAAAAATCAAATTTGTTTTGGTACCCAAGAATTCTTGGTACCAATAGATTTAGGGACATGACCCCTATCTTTTAAGCTCAAAGCCCTAGGGTTATAAACCCTCTTGGGCGCATGTGGTGCAGGGACACAGTCAAAACAAAAATTATATAAATGACCTTTCCGATTGCAATAAGTGTAATGAAAAAGGCCCATTTGATGTTGTTGACCAAGTGGCGGTGCACGGAAATCATTTACAAATAAAGATTGTCTTTTAAATTTATTTTGCAAATGGGAAACATTCTTAAACAATGGTTTATTTGGAACATATTACAATTTAGAAGCTTTTTACATATCATAACAAAATTTAGCAAGATGTCCAAACCTACCACAAACATCATATTTAAAAACATGTGGTCTACTAGAAACATTTGGCAAATGAGATTTATTTTTCAAATCAAAACAATATTTGGCCAAATGACCAAAACGACCACAATAATCACATGAATACACCTTAGAATGCTTATGATGAACTTTAGGTGCATGCAAATGTGTGTGTGATGAAGAATCCTTATGAGATGCGCAAGGAGCATTAATATTAATCTTTGTAGGTTTATGTGCATCATAGCAAAATTTAGCAATATGACCTTTTCGGCTGCAATTTGAATACTTGTAAATTTTGCTATACATGTGTGCATGATGTATGGGATGTCTAGATGTAGTAGCATGAGACTTAGCACACATGTTCATAAGTTTCTTATGATTATCCATGCATGTAACAAGAGTTGAGTCTAAAGATGAAATGCGGTTTTTAACAAGATTCAACTCATCATTATTAGGCACATATGTATTTTTAATAGAAGTAGAACATAAGTAGTCATTTATGAAAAAAGCAGTATCATTTTGTATGTTCTTTACTTCTAACATGACATTATTTTTATCATGAGTCAAGTTAGCAATATTTAATTTCAAATTATTATTTTCTAAATTTAACATATCTTTGTTTTCTTGAAGAGCAATACTTTCTTGAGAAATGAAATCAAATTTGGAAGCTAACTTCTCATGATCAGATTTTAAATCTTCATGCTTGCTTTGCAAATCAATAAAATTTTTATGCAATATGTTATAGGCATGTAATAATTTTTTACTAGCACAAGCAAGT